AAACACAATGGAAATCACAGTTAAATCAATCACTTATTGCGCCAAACATAACCATATTTCATTTATTTATATATTTAAATTTCTTATCAATAACATCCATTCTTTGAAAGCAACATTTTACACTAAGGTTCATAGGTGTCGAATAAGTTCTATAGAAATTCAGGTAAAAGTTTTCGAAAATAAAAACGCTGAAACACGTCAACTAGTTTCTTGAATTGTTAATTGCAAAACTTGTTTCCATATTTATAGGGTGAACCATTTGGAAGATATGAAGTCATGTATTATCATTTTCAAAAGAATGAATGAAGAGTGTGGTAAACCTTTGAAAAAAATCATCGATCTATTGAAGAATGAACGATTCAAAATATCAGCTAACGTGTTTCTTAATTTTCTTCTTCGAAAATACTCACGTGAATTGATTTGATTTTCCGTTACTTATGTACAGGGTGACACGCCGTTATAAACTACCACCCTCTATAGCTCATTTATTTTTGACAGTAGCAGTAGGAACAAGTGTATGAATTTCAAATGGAAAGCCCCACATGTAGTGGGAAAATGTTGTCCGAATACGTGAGATTGAAACTTCCCAAAAAATTAACCGATTTCAATTCGGTTTTCAGATTTCAGAAGCTCAATTCATTGTCCTGAGGATCAATATAGAATCAAAAAACGAAAAGTAGGTTGAATTAATATTATTCCTCTATGGTAAGTGACGAATATTGTACACAAAACAATGTCAGTAAACTTCTCCTTACGGTTTTCATAGGTATGTTGATAGATGTCTTTGTTTTGTTGCTTAGGCGCGATGTGTCAATTTCAGTTATATCGTCAGTAGCTAGGGAGGCAAGTACTTATTTTTTCATCAGTAATTCAATTTATCAAATCGAAACCGAAAGCATTCAATTCATTATCCTGAGAATCACTAAGGGGTTAAAAAATGAAAAGTAGGTTGAATTAATTAATGACGTATATTGTATAAATAAATCAATGTCAATAAGCTTCTCCTTATGCACGTGTGCGTAAATCGAAAACCGTGCGATCGGTTTTCATAGGAAATTCTGGAAAGAGCAAACTGGCAACACCCGTGAAGTGTCGGGAAAGATACGAAATCGCTTACAAAAAATTCATGGCTGGAAACTTAGGATTAAATATCATGTCATTTTCGGAAAATATTATCTGTTAGTTTCAAAAACTACACAGTGACTATTTTATATCCCAACAAACAATTTTGACCAGAACAGCGAAATTCCTGTGAACATTGATAGGCCAGTACCAATGGGAAACTTAGGCCACCATCAGTACAGGGTATCCCAATTTGGGCACTTTTGCGGGGTATCTCCCTTATCAATAAAGATAGAGCATTGCGGTTTTCGCGACAGTGTGCTACTTTTTTATGAAATTAATAATGGCGCAAGCAGAATTGCGGTAGCTCTTCCGGTTGTCTAGATACAGGGTGGAATTGAAAAATATCACCCCTCGTGTCTCAGTTATCTTTGAACTTATCGAAGAAGTTAAAACTTGTTTTTATAGAGTTTTTCTCGTAGAATCCAGTGGCGTAGTTATTTTTTTGCTAGCACCTTTTGTTTTTTAGTTATGGAGCAAACATATGTTTTTTCAAATGGAAAATAATTGTATACAATTATATATTTTTGGAAAGCCCACTTCATGATCAATGTATATATGAAATAATGTACAGGGTGTTCCATTTAAAAAAACATATGTTTGCTCCATAACTAAAAAACAAAGGGTGCTAGCAAAAAAATAACTACGCCACTGGATTCTACGAGAAAAACTCTATGAAAACAAGTTGTAACTACTTCGATAAGTTCAAAGATAACTGAGACACGGAGGGTGCCTGAAAAGTGATATTTTTCAATTCCACCCTGTACCTCGACAACCGGAAGAGCTATCACAATTCTGCTTGCGCCATTATTAATTTCATAAAAAAGTAGCACACTGTCGCGAAAACCGCAATGCTCTATCTTTACTGATAAGGGAGATACCCCGCAAAAGTGCCCAAATTGGGATACCCTGTACATGTCTGCCGATACATTCAATTAAAAAAAAAACGACCGCCACGGGATTCGAACCCCGGTCCTCCGCTATCACTTTGATACAAATCGAACTTGTATTCCAACTGAGCGACTACACTTTTATTGAAATGCTATGTGCGTAAGAAATTTATTTGCGGTGAACTTTCGAATAGGAATATTTCATTAAACAGTATCATTATCAAAACAGATATATACAAACAATGAACCAGGAAAACATCCGATTCTTCGATTCACTATCGAATTTCTGTCATACCTATTTTATGAGTCAGACGATTCTGAATAGCGCAGCGTTTGAGCGCTCGACTAGCAATTAAACCGTCGTAAGGTTGCTAGGTTCGACTCCTGGCAGAACAGAGAATTTTTATTTATACAACGAGTAATGAATTCTAATTTTCGCAGCCTCGGCCAGAGATGATTCCACACGATTCGCTGATGCGTTCCAATTAACAGTGCTGCTCCTAAGGTGGCGTATGGAGTTAGTAACAAAGCCTGCACATAACACACATGAGGTGAAGGATCTCTCGTAAGGTGGATGGCCAGTTGGTATGTACATACATACATAACGAAGTACATAATTATACTTACTTACTTACTTACTTACTTAATTAATTACTTACATACTTACTTACTTACTTACTTACTTACCTTATGTAAATGCAATGAATAAACATAGTAGTAGTAGTATATGTACTTGATTGGTATATGTATGTACATCGACCTAACGAGAGGTCCTTCGATCTGCTCATTAGTGTTCTGAGTAGGCTTTGTTACTAACTCCATACGCCACCTTAGGAATCATCTCCGACCAAGACTACGAAAATTTCATTTATAACTCCGTTTATATAAAAATTCATTGCTCTTCCGGGGAATCGAATCTAGCAATTTTGAAGTCCTATTCGAAGATGATTTTATATTTTTTCTACTGTTGAGAATAAATGAGTTGTAGACGACTGAATTTAAGATCGCAGCGACAATGTGGCCGATTCGGAACTATATGAAAGTACATTGTTTTGAAATGGTTCATTTGCTTGTGTGTATTATCTAGAATTTTTATTGGGATTTTGGCAAAGAAAACTGTTTATTTTTGTACTCTTGTGATTCGTGGAAGCTTTTCAGCAGATATTCGTTCATTAAAGTATATATTTCAATACTTAAAATACATACAGAGTGAGCAAAATAAAAATGCCCCAATTTGAGGTTACTTTAGTTTGCATTTCATTTCCATTCAGTAGTGAAAAAAAGAAATATTGCAAATCAAGTGGAGTGACTATGATGTTCACAAGGAAATCTGCGAATAATTGATCTACCTAGTAGGAAAAAAATTAACATATGTACTTCATTTTTGAGTACAATTTTCATTTTTTCAAATTCCTACTGTATCTTTCCACTTCTGGGAATAAAATGCAACTGAATTCAATCTGGAAGTTCTTTCAATCATACACTGATTGAATTCATCATTTTCTGTGAAATATGGTGAGAGAATTTTCATGAATAACCTGTGAAACGGAGAAATAATGATGTAATACACTGAAGAATTCAAATTCGAAAAATATCACACTTTAATGACCACCAAACATTCGATTTCTGGTTCCCATTAGTTACTTGAACACCCACAAGAGGGCGTATTGCTTATTTTGAATCGCCTATAGGGGGTGGTACTCTACGGAGTGCCAACGAATCTATTAGTTTTCGCATATTTTTCACTACCCTGGCACTTCCGGTTTTACCGGATATGGCTCCAGTTTTGAATTTTTAAATGGAACACCCTGTATATCATGACATTTTTGAATGCCTGAGACAATTCTGGATCAGAATATAACATTTTCAGAAGCTTTTACGCCTACTTATATTTTTAGAGTTTGTTCAACAAACTGACATACTCTTTTTAATGATCGAACAAGTTATCAATGTATTACCCGAATATTTTGAAGTACTCATAGTGTATCACTACTGAATATTCCTTTCACAAATACCCATACATCCACCTAAACAAGTCACCTCTTAAAATTGATAAAAACGATGAAAAAATAAATAAACTACTCAACACTAATTTCGTCGCACACCAAAATGTCGCCCCTGTTATAATGTGGATAACTTTTTTCAGTTTAGAACAATTTGAATTTGGTTCACACTGTTCGATAGCCCAGTCCTTCAGCTATAATCTGGTACTTCATTGAAACATAAGGGTATTCACATAAAATCTCTACATGATGTTTTCCGACACTGTGCGAAATTTCGGAATATTCAAAAGGCTCTCAAATGGTGAAAAAAATGTTTCTCTCAACTTCGACAACAGAGGCATGAAGATGATCTCATCACCTCGAGATATTTCGCGAATCAACTTCCTATCTCTTTTATTTACAGAGTGATCCCAAAAAATCAACTTTTTGGTTTTGCAGCCATAACCTTTTTCCACGTCAACCGATTTTGGTAATCCTAGGCTCATTTTGAAGATGAAACTTCAGATGAAGAGATCTGAATATCAGAATTGACTCAAGATGGCTATCAAAGATCTAGAGTTTTCTTGAAAGTGACCCAAATCTGGAACGCCCTTCGAATCCTGGTTGGGAGGAGAATTGAATGAAAATCAACTTGGTCTCGGAAAAACAATTCATTCTGGATGCGTCCATATTTTCCTCGCTCTCAGGAGTCAAGAATTGTGCGTGAGAAAACACAATTGAAACATGTTCTTGCAAAAACATTAGATTATTTCTCCTCTGTAATGCATGGCCCGCCGTAACCAACGTTACAAGAATCACAATGAGTGACGATTTCCAAAATCGGTTGACGTGGAAAAAAGTTATGGCTGCAAAACCAAAAAGTTGATTTTTTGAGATCACTCTGTAATTAAGAGAGATAGGAAGTTGATTCGCGAAATATCTCGAGGTAATGAAATCATCTTCATGCCTCTGTTGTCGAAGTTGAGAAAAACATTTTTTTCACCATTTGAGAGCTTTTTGAATATTCCGAAATTTTGCACAGTGTCGGAAAACACCATGTAGAGATTTTATGTGAATACCCTTATATTTCAATGAAGTACCAGATTATAGCTGAAGGACTGGGCTATCGAACAGTGTGAACCAAATTCAAATTGTTCTAAACTGAAAAAAGTTATTCACATTATAACAGGGGCGACATTTTGGTGTGCGACGAAATTAGTGTTGAGTAGTTTAAAAAAAATTAACCCTGGAAGAAAGTTACGCATCTCCTTTGGCACCTATAGGAACGAATCCGAAGTTGAGTCTGAGCTGCTCGAGAAACACGAACGTCAAGATTGTTTGGGGCGCGAGCCTCACGAACGCTGGAATGTAACCTTTGAAGAAGCCCATGGGGCCCAGTTTGGCAGTGTGAGCCACGATGGCCAATAAATTTTTGAACTCGCCAGGTCTGGCGTTCATCGACCTGGTCTTTAGAACGTCGAGAGGTTGAGTTAGAGATGTTGCGATGGCACCCTGTAAACAACATACTGAAAATACTAGAAACAAAATTCAAAGAAAATATTTTCGAGTAACTACTAAATAATAATACCTACGGCAATAAACAATAGAATCAACTATAGTTATGATACAAGAAACAAAATCAACAATGTACGACTTGAAAAACATAAGCTTAGAATTTTAGAAAAACATTCTAGTTTTGTTGGATCTGAAATTTATAATAAATAGTAGATTGTTTTATTAGGATCAAAAGTGACACTTTGTTTGACAAGCGAATTTTGCATTTGCGAGGCGGAGCGTTTAGCGAAGCCGAGCGAAAGCAAAATTTGCGAGTCGAACAGAGTCACTTCTGATCCGAATGAAACATGCTATTTTTTCTGCAACCGAAACAATTAACTCAAAAAACATGTGAAGTAACCACCAATGCCGTGCCGTGCCATATGTATGCAATGCAACAAATATTGACAAATAATAATCCATGTGGTAAGAATATTCTACCTGCATTAACAGCAGGTTAGGTTTTCAAGGATGTTCGAATAATTGTAGTTTCAATATAAATACAACCACAGAGTGACATATTTATGTATGGACCAGGTGCTCTAATGGCAAATACCGCGCCAGTGCCAGCTATAGGAACAAGACGTGGAAAATGTTAGGTTAGTGAGCATATCGACAATGATAATAGTGATTTTTTATTCCTCTCCATACTACACTGTGTTCGACTTGATAATCGAATGAAGCTGAACAATATCGTTGATTGAGACAAAAAACTAATGCTTGCCGTGATTATTCAAAAACATGTTATCCATCCCGAGAATAACGAATGAAATACAGGTCAAGCAAGTATTTGAATCTTGAAGGCTTCCCTGATCAAACAAAAATACTAAGCTGAGATGTTTATGATTCCAATACTAAACTATAATAAGGTGTATTTATATCTCCAGCATGGATATGAAATGCCAAATCTGTTGAAATCGGAAACAAATCAGGTATGCGTCTCAACCCAAATAACCAATTGTCACAATGTTGTTTGTTCTTGATGACGTCCAGTACATCCTTTTTAGTTCCTAGGAGCTAAAGTTCAACTTTAGCTCCTAGGAACTAAAATTCAACTTTAGCTCCTAGGAACTAAATATGTTGCTTAGCAACATACCTATTTTTGTGTCAGTAATAGAAACGTCATTTTAAGAGCTAATTTTGGTATCAAAATGAACGACTTTTGTGTCGGTTGCAGAAAAATACCATTAAAATTAAAACGCCTAAATATCACAACTTTCAAAAAAGAAGTTGAAACATTGTCAAAATTAACATGTTTCAGAACGTATATGCTCAATTATCTCAAAAACAGTTCGTTTCTCGAAAAAAATTTAAGAACGAAAAAGCCTCTAAATTGAACGATCCACACAATTCGATCACAAGCAGATGCCAGAGGCGTACTACGAAAAAGTTTGGGGGAGATAAAGAAGCCTCTACCCCCAAAACCGTATCACCCTGTAGATTTTGAAAATCTTTAAATGGCTTGAAGTGATGATATTCTAAATAGTATCGACCACACCAAATTTCAAAATGATATCTTGAAAAGTAAGCGAGATATTTCAATTAATAAAAACTTTTCTGATTAAAATGATGAGATCTACCTCCCATTTCAGTTTGTGCTCTAAAACCTGAATCACACTGTATACAGGGTGTCTGTAAAAGGTTGGGGCATGGCTCGGCTGTGGACTCCTGGGATAAAAACAAGTTGATTTAGGCCAACTTACCTATATCCAAAATCGTCTCGTTGAGTTGGTACAAGGCGTTGAAGTTTTTTTGGGAAAAAATAATTTTGCTCATAAAAAGAGCAAGCTGAAATCGATTTTCATAATTTTTGGCATGGCACGTTCTGTGACTGTAAGTCACGTTTCGAGATGTTTTTGATCATCATCAGTGACCTGCAAGTGTTTCAAACAACCATATGTTGCCGTACAAATTTGGTGATAACTTTTCAGAGGTCAGACTGGAAATTTCCAGTTGTTTTTTCCAGGAAGATATTCTCTTCAGAAATATTTTTTGTATCGTGTTAATTTTTGTTCATTTGCAAATAAATAATTTCTGATATGATGCATCCTGTGCAATTTTGAAAATTAATCTTATTAGTCGAACTGTTTATTGATCATGGCTACAATGTATTCTTATTGTAAACAAATAGTAGAAGATCCGAACCTAAATCGACCTTCACCGAGCTGATAATAGAACGAAATATATTTTATCATGAATTTAGTATATTAGAAAACATATTAAAAATGGGTTCGCTAAAAAAATCCTGGGCAGACTATTTTTAATTATTTTTCGAAAAATGATGTTTAATCAAATGTTGCAACATCAGGATAATAAAAAAAATTTGTCCTGACTGAAAGTATAAAACGTATAGAATGTGCAGCCGTTGGGTTGTCTACTATTTACCTGGGCGAACTACTGGGTTGTCAGGTAAACACAGGTATATCGATGCCAGTTACTTTCACTGGATTGGATAATTAAAAAAAATGTATATCATCATAAGCGCTGTTTAATTGCGAACACGTTGATATAGGGTTGTCTGCGAAAATTCCGGTCCTATTAGGGGTTTGCGAATTTTAAAGATTTTAATTTCAACGCGCGTGGAAGTGTGTGACAGAGAGATCCGAGGTAAGTATACTGTGTAATAATAAAGGACCCAACATCGCAGTCGCTTGTGATGGGACCCTGAATAGTAGAAAGTGCGCATGCACGGTGTGTAAACTATGGAGGGTAGAGGTACCTCTACTACCCTTCATATAGTAAACAGTGCGTGTTATTTTGGAGCAACTGATATTTCAGTAGCAAAAAAAAATTAATCAATTACATAATAATTAAATATATTTAATATAATACTAATATATAAAAACAATATAATATCAATATATTGCGTTATAACCATAATAATATATCTATAATCTATAATAGACAATAAAAATATCAATTACTTACTTTGAAATTTTTTTGCTCTTTCTGGAAATAGAAACAAAGTGGACCGCCAAAAATTCAAATTAAGAAATAACAAAAAAGATAGACTAGATATCTTGTATTACGATTAAAAATTTTATTAAAAAACAGTATAAATACAAAAATAATATTAATGAAAAAGAAATTCTAATAAATATTTTCTATTCAATATCTGATTCATCAGAAGTATCATTTTGACTCTCGAATTCGTCTGATTCATTAGATTCTTCCTCATTTGCTTCCATTTCGATAATGTCCTAGATTTTCAAAGGAGTTTGATCTCCGATAAAACCTGTTGGTTTTAAGAAATCATCAAAATGCCAACCATAGTTTTCAGGATTTGACTTCGCACACTTCGCACACTTTCTACTATTCAGGGTCCCATCACAAGCGACTGCGATGTTGGATCCTTTATTATTACACAGTATACTTACCTCGGAACTCTCTGTCACACACTTCCACGCGCGTTGAAATTAAAATCTTTAAAATTCGCAAACCCCTAATAGGACCGGAATTTTCGCAGACAACCCTATATCAACGTGTTCGCAATTAAACAGCGCTTATGATGATATAATTTTTTTTTTAATTATCCAATCCAGTGAAAGTAACTGGCATCGATATACCTGTGTTTACCTGACAACCCAGTAGTTCGCCCAGGTAAATAGTAGACAACCCAACGGCTGCACATTCTATACGTTTTATACTTTCAGTCAGGACAAAATTTCTTTATTATCCTGATGTTGCAACATTTAATTAAAAATCATTTTTCAAAAAATAATTAAAAATAGTCTGCCCAGGATTTTTTTAGCGAACCCATTTTTAATATGTTTTCTAATATACTAAATTCATGATAAAATATATTTTGTTCTATTATCAGCTCGGTGAAGGTCGATTTAGGTTCGGATCTTAGACTAAAACTGATATGCTGCTGGTCCTCGTGAGCTTTACAAGAATTCTCGCGTTACAAATTTAGCAATATCTATTCAGGACCTGAGGTAAGCACTTTAACGCCTTGTACCAACTCAACGAAACGATTTTGGAAATAGGTAAGTTGGCTAAAATCAACTTATTTTAATCAAAGGAGTCTACAGTCAAGCCATGTCCCAACCAGATTATTTTTCTAAAAAATGCATAAGATGCCTCAGATCAGAAATTATTCATTTGCAAATGAACCTCGAGACTTACCAAAAATTAACACGATACAGAAAATATTTCTGAAGGGAATATCTTTCTGGAAAAAAAAACTGGAAGTTTCCAGTCCGACCTCTGAAAAGTTATCACCAAATATGTACGGCAACATGGTTGTTTGAAACGCTTGCAGGTCACTGATGAACAAAAACATCTCAAAACGTGACTCACAGTGACAGAACGAGACGATTTTGGATATAGGTAAGTTGGCCTAAATCAACTTGTTTTTATCCGAGGAGTCCACAGCCGAGCCATGTCCCAACCTTTTACAGACACCCTGTATACACGGGAAAAATATTAGATTTTAGCTCACGGTTTTTTGTCTCCAACCTGGAGCTGAAATTCTACTACTATTTTCCCTTGTATAATTCATATTTATTATTCATTATTTCCATAACCTTGGCAAAACCCGATACCAACTAGTGTAAATATCAAATTTTTGCAACGTCATTGGAAACATAATGTAAAAATAGAATATTTGTTTGCAGTTCAAATTCAGCTAGACTATGATATGTCACAAGATCACAAAATATTAATATTTTAACATCTTTTCAAACAAAAAAGTAAATCAACTTAAAAAACAATAGGCACGTTGATGACTGAAATACCTGTATATACAGTGCATCCCATATGGGTTATTGACACTGCCAGCTTTCTAGTTTCTAAGTAAAGATAGAACCTTGCGGTTTTTACGTTCCACGTTTCTATCCTACTTTTTTGTGAAACTCAAGATGGCCTAATCAGATTCTACATAACTATTTCCGTTTATGAGAATCGGGGTGATGTCAAAAATTTATACTTTTTGGACCTCTGTTTCTATTTTTACAAAGTTATTGGAAATAATGTTGCACTAAGAACTACCTCTAACAAAGAATTCCAGTGGCGTACTGGTTTTCCATTGGTCGGGTTTTTGAGATAGAACACAAACATATACAGTGTCATTCTTAAAGTCGGCATCATATGGGAAAAACTTTTATTAATGACTTATTTTGAAATTCGAGTTGGACGTTAAGTTTTGCTTCAAAAAAGATGAAAAATGGCCTACTCAATCGGGGTCACGTGACTTTCGCTACATGTCAAAAGTGACATTTTTTCAAATTAATCGCTGAAAGTAGGCTTATTTGTTCGAATATCGAGAAAGTTTACTTGAAAAAGTTGTTTCTATTTAAATTTCACATATGTGACTCGGATTTTATCTTTGTATTACATTTTTTAGATTTCAATATTTTTTGAAAATTTTCGAAATTTCTGTACCTAATATTAAAAAAATTGTTAATTCGATAAAACTACTTCATACCAGTAGTTTGATCATGCTATCAACTTTCAATTACTAATTATCACTAATAATCGACAAAAATATGATTTTCTTCAGAAAATGATAATCTCCGCTTCAAAATTCTGTTATGTTTGATTCAAACATAACGTAAAAATTCTGTTATTAATTTTTTTTTTCAGTACTGAAAAGATCAATTTAAATGAATTTCGTTTCTAAATGCTTGACGATATATCACCTTTGCATCAAACATAACAGAATTTGTAAGCGGGTATTATAATTTTCTGAAGGAAAACATATTTCTGTCCATAATCAGTGATAATAAGTAATTGAAAGTAAGTAGAATGAAAAAGCTACTGGTATAAAGTAGTTTCGTGGAATTAACAATTCTTCAAACATTACAGAAATTTCGAAAAATTTAAAAAAAAAATCAAAATCCAAAAGTTGCAAGAGAAAGATCAAATTTGAGAAAAATATGTAAAATTGGAATAGAATCAACTTTTTCAAGTAAACTTTTTCGATATTCGAACAAATAAGCCTACTTTCAGCGATTAATTTGAAAAAATGAAACTTTTGACATGTAGCGAAAGTCACGTGATCCCGATTGAGGAGGCTATTTTCCATATCTTTTGAAGCAAAACTCAACGTCCACCTCGAATTCCAAGATAAGTCATTAATAAAAGTTTTTCCCATATGATGCCGACTTTATGAATGACACTGTATACATACATAGGATTCTCAGAAATGTTGAAAAAAAAAACACAACTGATACTACTCTTTTTATGGGAAATTCACGGTCCTATCAGTGAAAATGCCTCATATAGTATTGTTTTAGTGTATTTTAAGCATTTCTGAAGACCAATCTATGAAATAAAATACATTAATTTGAAAGAAAAAAAAAAACGAAAATTTAACGAAAAAAAATAGAGGGTGTTCCATAAAAAATATATGAGTTTGCGTCGTATATCTCGAAAACCATACGTCGACGAAAAAATTTGGTACGCCACTGGTGTCTTCACAAAATTCTCTGTCAGACATAGCTCTTAGAGCAAAATTATTTCTAATAATTTCGTTGATATACAGGTTGTAATTTAATTGTTGGCTGAAAAGCACCAATAGACAGTTTTTGATGCAGGAGATTTTTAAATATATCTACCAGTGGCGTCCGTATGGGATGTATACAGGAGATTTTTTCGAAAAAATATTGTATGCCCTTCCTTTCTCCGAAAATAAAATTGATTTTTGAAATCCTCATTTATTTTGCAACAATTTGACCTGAATTTCTTCTTCACACAAACCTTTTCCGTGTATAAAAATAAAAAACCATTTTCTTGTTATTATGGCATAATGAAATTATTTTGAACTATAGTAAAATAATGACAATCTGTCCATTACATTATGTTCATATTTTGACAAGTTTTCATGAACAAAACAGTTTTTTGAATTGTGAGAGTTTCTTTGATAAATAGAGAGAAAATAAAATTCTAACACCCAATAGCTTGAAAGTTAATAGGTTTAGGGCATATGTTCATAAGAACTTTTCTTCATAAAATGAGTTTAGGAACCATATCTCATATTTTCAGCTATTGATTAAATTAAATTACGCCACCATAAATGTTCAAAATTGCCCTGCATTTTGTAACAGAAAGTTGTAGGAAAATGAACGTGAAAACCTGCAAGGTTCTATCTTTTTTTCATCTCTTGGAATCTCAACCAAAATTGGATGAACTTACAACTATTCAAAAAAATTAAAGTTTTCAACAACAAAAATTGAACAAATTAGTTACTCATCAACTTGAAAACCCTAGAAACTAATTGAAACTTTAAGAAGAGCCTAAAGACAATTTGGCTGTAACCAGGATGATAATAATAATAATAATTTGATTTTTTGTGACTGCTAAAAAACGATTTTCTACATTGTAATTCATGAAAAATTATCATATGAGAAGTCTTGTGAATTATTGTGAATTTTTGTTATTATTGTCAATTTTTCATATTTGAAATGTCTTGTGTTGATATTGAAGGTTTTTTCAATTTGGGCTCCGACTATACAATATAAGTTTGTTAATTGTTTATTTTTTTTATAATTTCATCAAATATGCTCTACCTTCATCTCTCTTTAGGTCTTCATTGTAGACTTAATGAAGATTTCAATTTCTTTATTTTTTTCTATCAACCTGATCTATTTTATCCAATTAAAAAACTAGATTCAAGAAAACAAGAAAATATAGGTAGGTATCATATTCCATTTGAAACAAATTTTTCCCTGGGTTGATGCTGAAAAACAACCATATTTTTGCAACATTTTGTAGTGTTTGTTTTCATGTGATTAAACCACTGATGAATTTTCTTTTGATTAAAAATATTGGTTTCACAAACACCCCTGCTGTTTAGCTAATCAATTTTGTAGATTTACTTAGATATTTGGAAATATGAACAAAATGACCCTTTCTTCTCTTTTCAATGATTTACATCACCCTTATCATCTTTGAATTGTTGGTCATCACACCACTGATGATGCTGATGTGTTCAAATCACAGAGCTCAAAGACCATTCAAATAGGTACTTACAGCACTTAGACTTGATAGAAAGTGAGTAACCATATTGTCTTTGAAGACTCCTGTACCCAACAGTAGTATCTTGATTTGATCATAGAAAGATAACTGTCCTATTGTCATAAAAACAGCTCTGGATGAAGCAGTTGATGCCCCAGAAAACAGTCTTCGAATACCTTCTTCTCTGTACACTCTCACCATTCCATCTATGGCATGTTTGTAGCTATAAAAAATAATTACACAGGGTGAACATAAGAATATATATCTTGTACCTATCAATCATCTATGTTGTCAAATAAACTTACTTGCGCCTCTTTTCAATGGGCAATTTGATGTCATTTTGCATTCTGACATTGACCATATCAGCAGGAGTTCCAATGAACCCACCTACAGCTCCTGCAACGGCAGCTACTCCAACTTTGGCATAAAAGGAATCATTCTGAAGGTTTTGTTTGGCAACTTCATAAATACCAAATCTTGTGGTAGAATATGTGAGTTGACGGCACAGAGAGGCAGATAGTCCCGAATAGAGTGCAAGAATACCTATAAAAAAGTACGTAGATCTCTATTAGTTTGTAAAACAGGATGAATGGATTATTACCTTGTTTCTTTACAATATCAGCTGTTAGCCTTAGTATTGATATTTTCCCTTCCTGTTGTGTTTGTAAATGAACTTTTATCAGATCCAAGGGATGTGTACAACAAGCTGCGCCTGCAGAAGCAAGCCCCCCAAAGTACCATCTAGCTAATTTCTTCTCGGTACCTGACATGCTACTACAATAATTGCAATAAACAGTAACCTGATGTACTTATTCACACAGAATGGTCATTTTTGCAATAGCAACTGTAGGAATCAAGGTGTACTCACAACTTACTTTCGAATTAAAATTCATTATTTTGATTTTCCCTTGACATAGCCCTTGACATAAATAAATAGTAAATAAAAAATACTTCTTACATTCCCCGCCAAAAATCTGATTTTGAATGTGTTGGAAGCCATGACTACGTTTCCTGTTGGCGTAAAACTAATTGAGAATTTTCATTATAATAAAAAATACAATAAACTCCAGTCATTGCACTTCGAATGAATCCAAACATATGGAACATATTTTGTGAATACTTTGGATGATGGTAATGATCGGAGTTTGATTGAAAATGATGATATTCGATAAATTATATACCCGCTGCCGGACACTTATTCACTTCCAACATTCATGAATGTATGGAATGTGGGAGGGGAATCTGTGAGTCAAACTTCAAAGCAAATTTTAGGTTAGGTTTAGGTATCAATCAAAAAACATGTTTAGCGAGCCATGTGTGTTTTTTTGAATTTATTATTCTCACCTGGTTTGTGCCCAATTGAGTGATTCTTTGTCAGGTAGGTGGATTGAATATATTTCTAAATTTTTCAGCTATATGATTTATAGGAATGACGTTACGACGTCTGCATCATTATCGCAGAGTGATTGAACTTGACTTGATATAACAATTTTTGATCGACCCAGTCAGAGTAGATCAATTATCGTTGTCAAGGTCAAATAGTTCACAACTTAATTCAAAAACGTGGATTCTATTTGAGTTTGGAACATTCAGATAATATTGAATTAAGATATTTTTAGTTTTACCTCGATGTAGCAACTGCGATCGTATTATGTGGTATTCTGATAGCGTCACATGCGAATCATGTGAATACTTGGAATTTGGAATGGTAATGGTGATTAGTCATTGTACAAATGCTTAATTCAACGGGCTATCAGTAAATAAATAACTACCCACTGATAGCAGGAAGTATTAAAATATAATAAATAAACATCACTCAGAACTCCCCTCAAAACTTACCCTGTTCCAGTGGCGTAACTACGGGGGGATGCGGATAAGAAGGATATATTCCCTCCCCCCACATGCCAATATATAGATGTAACACACCACTTTTGTTCACGTATAAATACGGTGGATTCATGCTAGCAAAATTTAAAACAAATGAATTTTATAAACCAAAAGTAATGTAATCTAGGTGCTCTTGCAAGTAACTAAAATACTAAAATTAAAACTAAGAAAGATGACCAACATTCAACTAAGAAATTATTTTCTTCCATAATTCACGAAAGCGCATGCGTCAAATAATAACGCCGCGCTTGAAAAAGATTAAACAGCTGATGAAGGGTTATTGCTCGGGTTATTGCGGGTTATTGTATGAACAACCATAAATTTTTAATTTAAAATTCGTTTAAATCTTGATTTCATGATAATTTATTTGATCTTGCATGAATCCACCTTTAACCCTATTACATTTTCATGTCTATGAGGGTTTACTCGGTTTAGTAGTGTCGTTGGTCGTTGTGTGAGATCAGCTTTAGAGCGCATGCTCAAATTAACGATGATGATTAATGTGGTTTCAACAGCGGGTTTGTTCGCGTTCGAAAAATAAACAGTCCGAAACCATCAGAAGCATGCGCAGTTCCACGGAACTTGATAAATTCGTACTGTTCTGTGAAATTGCGCATACTCCTGATGGTTTCGAACTGTTTTTATTTTGAACGCGAACAAGCCTACTATTTGAAATTGGAAGAGATTTCTTGTTGCAGCTGAATGAGAATCTATTTCGAAAAAAATAAACAAGGTTTTTTTGAAATTAATGCACATATGCAGCACATTAAAATGATGTAGTCTAAGGAATATTCCCATGATATCAGATTTTTTCTAATTCTTCTAATCAACCAGAAATTTCATCCCAAAAATTTTACAAAACACGAGATAAAGATCATATACAGCACTTTAAAACAATTTAAATGATTGAACTCCCCGTGATTGTGCCTACCACATGGAAATTTGAACAGGGGTGGCGTCATATTGGCTACAGTGTAGAACTTTGGGTGGAAAAAGAGGTCTAACCTCAAATTTTATTTTGATCGCTGAATTTTTTTAATTAGTGCCTTTCTATAGTACACGTGTAGCTTTCTCATGGTGAGTTCATGCACGACGTAACTTAGTCCTAACTCAACTCCACCCTAACTTTGAGAAGTTGAAATTCGAACAATCGATGATAACGTTCATGCACGCAACTGAAGGATTTAAGTAAGTTGGCCAACTTTCAACTTATTTCACATTTCTTCGTGCAACTCGCGTACTGCGAATGGTCAAGCATTGATGCCAACAGAAATTGTAAATAGTTAGGTTTAATAATCCATAACCTCAAACACTCTGCTAAAACTTTCAACTAATTTTTCAAAATGTTAAAAATATTGTTATTTTGTTTATAACATTTATGGTTGACGACAGTGAACTCATCAGTACTCCTTCATTTACAACAAAACAGATCCCAAATACATTATTCTGCACATGCGTAAATATTTACGTTGAGTTGTGTATGAACACCTATGGATAATTTTTAAGGCAATATTAAGTTAGGTCTTAAGTTAGGACTGAGTTAAGTCGTGCATGAATTCACCATCAGTGTTTGAGATATTTGCACTTATTTCAATGCCACCCTGTATATACTCCCCTGAGGTGCACTTCTGGGGTTCTGGGTACACTACTGCCCTATTCTGATCTAAAAGTTTCAGCAGAGTTTGGTCCAAGTAGGTTGTGAAGTAGGTACCACGTACTTCACGTAATATTCCCTAAACTGTGTAGGTAGGTACTCAGTAGATACCTAGTATGAATTCGTTTATGCATATTTCTGATAAGATAACCAAATGATTATTTTGCAAGGCCCAGTTTCCCTTAATCGCCCATGAAAGTCGTGAAATATGGATGATGTCTGTTTGTAAATCTTCAAACGTGTATTCCATTTTGATTTCTCTCTACTTGGCTAAAATTCTGACAACTTCTGACAATGGCATGTGTTGCTCTACAACTGCTATAAAAAGTAGCGCATTTCTCATAGCTTACTTAGTTTCAAAACCATGTATTGCTCATACTGTGAGAAATATTTTTTCTCACGGTACTTTGCCAATACGTTGATGCCAGGAATAACTGCAGCCAAACAATAGATTCTTCGAAAGAAACATACAATGCCAAGATAAGATCGAAACTCATAGATTGCCCCAATGGCTCTCGTTCGTTTTGGTCCCTTGCTAAAGCGGTCGGAAGAAATTTCACTAATAGCTCATTTCCACCACTGTCCAAATCCGACGGCACGTTAGCAACAACATCGCAGGAGAAAGCAAATATTTTTGCAGAGATGTTCGCAGCAAACTCTACTTTAGATTCCCAAGGAAAACTGCCGCCAGACATTCCACCCGTTGAGAGTCGAATGCCCGAAATCGTCTTCCGTCAACGCACTATCAGACGAATTTTGCTTGGTCTCAAAACGAATAAGGCTAACGGTCCTGATGGAATTCCACCCATTATCCTCAAAAAATGTGCACCAGAATTAACACCGATTCTCTGCAAGTTGTTTACCATCTCGTACAGGTCGGGTATTTTTCCATCATGCTGGAAGACAGCTAGAGTCCAACCAATCCCCAAAAAAGGGAACAAGAACCTGCCCAACAACTACAGGCCCATTGCCCTGTTATCAGTAATCTCCAAAGTGTTGGAGAAAGCCATCAATATTGAGCTTATCAAATATCTGGAGAGCTCAGGAATCATCAATGATAGACAATACGGCTTTCGCCATCGAAGATCTACTGGAGATCTACTTGCCTACGTCACCCATGTATGGCAATCTTCAATAGAAAAACACGGGGAATCTCTAGATGTCGCGTTGGACATTTCGAAAGCATTCGACCGTGTTTGGCACGAAGGACTCCTCCACAAACTACCATCATACGGCTTACCACCTCAGCTATGCCATCTCTTATCGAGTTTTCTTTCAGGCAGATCGCTTCACGTGGTGGTGGACGGTGTATCGTCTGATACCTTTGGCATCAATTCCGGCGTTCCACAAGGATCAATTTTGGCACCAACATTATTCCTGCTTCATATCAATGATCTGTTGGGAGTAACAACTTGCCCCATCCACAGCTTTGCAGATGATAGTACCCTCCATACTGCGTTCTCTTCCAGAATTCCCATTTCTTCCCAGGAAACTAAGAACTCACGGCGCAGGCAGGTCAATGCTGTCAATTAAGATCTTGCTGAAATCACAGCCTGGGGAACAAACAACCTAGTTGAATTCAACGCCACCAAAACTCAAGCCTGCATTTTCTCTAGAAAGGCGGAACTCAGTATGCCCGATATTGTGATGTCCGGCTCCACCATCCCCACCAAGCCCACCATATCTATGCTCGGTATTTCCATCAGCAACACTCTTTCATGGGATAATCATGTCAGATCCATCGCAAAAGCTGCTTCACAAAAACTCGGATTCTTGTTCCGTGTGAAAAGCTACTTTACACCTCAACAGCTTCTCATGATCTACAAAGCGCAGATACGGCCTGTTCTAGAATACTGTTCCCACATATGGGGTTCAGCACCAAAACATACGCTGATGCTCTTAGATTCCATCCAGAGAAGAGCCATTCGCCTGGTGGGTGACGCCACACTCACTCACTCTTTGACATCATTGGAACACCGTAGAAAGGTCGGCGACCTTTCACTTTTCTATCGATACTTCCACGGGAAATGTTCTTCGGAAATCTCTGCTATCATCCCTTCACTAGCAATACCAATCAGACGAACTAGACAAGCCCAGTCAGCACATCCTTTCGTTGTCAACCTCGAAAGATGTCGAACAGCACTTTATCAAGACTCCTTCATCCATAGAACGGCTAGGCTCTGGAATTCATTGCCTGTGGAAGTATTCCCAACAACATATAATCTCCAA